ATAATCATCATGCAAGGCATGCTTTTGTAACAATATAAATGTTTTTCTCACTTTACTTGCTGAATAAATGTATCAATTCCTATTGACCCAACAACACTATGACGGTTTTCTGGATTGATTGACAGAGGAAATGTTGGACGTACTGTAGATGAAATTTCACTCTGGTTGAAGCAGCAAAAGTACAAAATGTGGGACAAAAAACTCAGATTTACATGGAAGAGATTTATCACTTTATCATGTTGTCGCTTGTGCCTTTGAAAAACATGTGCCTACAAACATCCCAGCACCAAAAACAACAGGACTTAGAGGATCAAACGTCTGGCATAAATCTGGAATCATAAAGGATTACTCCATGGATTTAACCCGAAACATTATCACACTAACACACACAAACGAATTACTGCACAATTCCACCCAAACCTCAGACTTCCATGTCTTATTGGAAAGAAAAAAGGTCAAGAAGAAAAAAATATCCATGCTACAAAAACCAGTCAGCGTATATCGAACGTTCTCCGGACTCACCGTCACATTATCAGCATACTTGGAGAATCTAAAATAACATGGATGATCACAAACAAGGAGATCTAAAATAGGTCATGATAAGACCAGAACATGATAAGAAGGGTCTCATATAATACCCTATAATCTGTTTGGCCACCATCTGGGTCTTCATCATGATTTGTGAGAGTTTCAACTCTCCTGTGCTGGCAGATGTCAAGGGGAGCAACGTATGCCTTCATCATCAATGGATGCATTAAATGTTTGTTGGGTTGCATAGCCCGGGTGAGCACGTGTGTGGAGCGCAAGGTGATGAATTAGTAAAGCTGCGAGTTGGAACAAAGGCTCGTGGGTAATCTGACAGGCTGCGGCGCAGCCCCTGAGGGACTGAGACAAAGCGGCGGGAACGAAGGGGCGGAGGCATGCTGGGAAGGCTAGTCAGCTGGCCGGGTCTTCTCCAGCCTGAAGGATGAGGGCCACAAAAGCCCGCCGCGCGTTAATGACTGTATGAAAGCAATTATGACCCTTAGCGCACTAAAGATGACATTATAGAGCAATAACTCAGCCTGTGTGCCACTCACACAATGGGCCGGGCCTTGATTCTGGCCTGGAAAGACAAAAGAGAAGGTTACACACGAGATCGACTCGTGACCCAGTCTTTCCTTGAAATGGCTTTGTTATCTGTGTGTGTTTACACACACTTGGGTAAAGAATAGCTGAGGTGGTGCTGGGTTATCATGCTGACCTCTTGCTGGCCTTGGAAATCAAATCCTGAAGCTTAAGTCCAAATAAAAACCCAACAGTCAATTGTAAAGGTAGAAGTCTTGATGACCACGGCAAGGTGTAGAGAAAACAAAAACCCCAAGGCTGAATGCGAAATCACCCCCCATACCCTCAAATAGGCCGTAATTTGAGGGGACGGCCATTTGTAGTGGTGTCTGAAGTGGAAGTGTTGTAGTGCAATAAGAAGTGTACAGGCGATGTACGCCTGTCTGAATTCACTCCCTCGTTTTCATTCACTCCATCAAGTGAACTGTATTAGTGGACTTACGTAGGGAATAGTGATTGAGGGTTTAGGGGGCGATTTCGGATACAGCCCTATTCTTAGACCTATACTCTTTCCCATGAGGCCCAGGCAAACGGGCGATAAATACAGGCACCTGTCCAACAAGAGGTCACGGGCTTCAAAAGACAAAGTTCCCTGTGTTTTAATGGATAATTACAAGCACCTTCGCAAACATGTGAAAAGGTCACCTGCAAGGTGCAAAGGTATATTTAGGGCTAAGGTCGCCCCAGGTGTGAAGTCGCCGGAGAGTATTTACCTTTCAGGGCAGCGATTTTCTTATATACAGTACAGTAACGTTCAAAAGTTTAGGATTAGCATGTTTTAATTTAAAGGGGACATATGAAAATCAGACTTTTTCCATGTTTAAGTGCTATAATCGGGTCCCCGGTACATCTACCAACCCAGAAAACATGAAAAGTGACAACCCAGTAACTTTGGGTTGGTAAGCCTTTCTCTGCAAGCATGTCAAAAAAATGTAAAATTCTGACGTAGGAAGGGGATCTTAATTATTATAATATTACTGCTAAAGCCAGACCGATATATCGGCAGGCTGATATTATCGGCTGATATTAGGCATTTTCTAAAATATCGGTATCGGCAGTTATAATGGCCGATAAATGAATATTTCAAAAATAAAATGAAATCGGACAAATCACGCTTGAACCATGTCATGAGTGTTGGAGTTGTATAGTTTGTCCACTAGAGGGCACTCTACACCGTCCCTGTTGGCAACACTCATGTATAACGCAACCCGCTGATCCAGCCAGAGTCAGGCAGAGAGAACCAGTTATGCATTATCATATTATTTTAGTTAAAACTCATAATTAACTACAAATAACTAATGTTAGGGAAATCTGATAATATTTTGTTGCTTGTTTCTGAAATAAAAAAATAATAATAATATCGGCCGATATATCGGAATATCGGATTTTAAAACCAACAAATATTTGTATCGGCATCAGCCTTCAAAATCCTTTATCGGTCGGGCTCTAATTACTGCCCCTTAATCTGCATGTTTCCATCCGCGGCGCCGCCATTTGGTTTTCGCGAGCGACAACAGTGTAACCCGTTGTAACGCAATGGCAAAAGTTCGAGCAAAGCATGCAAACTGTTCTGTCAAACAACACTATTTGACCAAAAAATGTCACAGCTGTCTTATGAAGAGCTTGGGGAACTGTCAACTTGTGTAAAAGTTCAACATAACGGCACATGCAAGTCGATGAAGTGAATCAATATAACTCCACAACGACTACATAACTGTATCCGCTCACCATTCAGAAACGTCCAGGTTAAGTTTAAAAGTTGCAACCTCTTCCCGAGTCTCTACGTAAGGCTGCACTCACTCCGCTACTAATTTCTGAAATTTGACTCAAATTCGTTTGTTTTGTTATTGATGGAGTATCCGAAGCTTATGTAAAGGATCGTCCTGTCTTCTGAATGGGTCAGGGAGAAGCAGCTCATTTGCATTTAAAGGGACGCACACACAAAAATGGTGTGTTTTTGCTCACACCCAAAAAAGGGCAACTTTGACTTTATCTGGGTTGTATTATGAGCTGTAATTCCGCAGACACATTCTGAGGACTAATAGGTCCTCTTTAAAGAAATTAAGGCCCCGGTTAGACGAGAACGATTCCGGGTGAAAACGTAAAATTTTTTTATCGGATGTGCCTTTCGTTTACACGGCGACGCCGTTTTTGAGGCTTAAAAACGCAAAAAAGTGAAACCACCCTCCAGAGTGGAAATCTTAAAAACGCTCCACCGCCGCGTTCCCGTGTAAACGGTAAAAGCGCAAAAGTCTGCTTGACAGTGAAGGTTGTACGCAGGCGCATGGACTCGGTGTTGTTTTAGTATGCACTCTTAGCCACCTGAAGTGCATTCTACATTGAATTTCACACACTTTTGCGTCACCATTTGCACGCGGATTTCCCACACAAAACGCTCGTCTAAACGCAGAATAAAAAGTGATGACGCAACGCCACTTTTGCGTTTTCTCTTCAGAATCGTTTACGTGTAAACAAAGCCTAATACTTTCATTCAGCAAGAATACATTAAATTAGGGATGCACCGAAATGAAAATACGGAACGCACCCGCAAAGTCATAAAGGTGTAACTCTTTTAACGTAAAATGGTCCCAAACATAACGCACGCTCGCTTCATTTCTCCTCGTGTCTGCTTTACGTGTTTCACGGTTGACTTCACATGACTTCGACCCGTTTTAACGATTAAATTATCGACAATTAATCGATCGTTAATCGTTGATTAATCGTTAGCATCCCTAGTTTCAACAACAAAAATGTTTTTTAAATGCAACAACTGATTTGCACTTCACTTCTTTACCATGGTAAAATGACTGTAACAAACAGACTTTAGTGGCATTTTGCTTTTACGACTGTCTTTATGTGTTATCCCAGAGAAAAGACCCCATTTCTCTTCTGATGCCTGGCAGTTTGTGAGGTCTTATTGGGTCTGTCTCTCTTCCCCTTACAGACAGGACCACATCACAGAGAGCATGGGCTGTTTATGCTGGAGTCGAGTGCACACAGCTCTCTCTTAATGTGCTGCCATAAAGAGATAAAAGTAGAGTGCAAACACGCAGTCGAGTCTGTTGATGTTATCAGGACCCGGTTGGCAAGATGTTCCAAAGGCCAATCAAACTGCTCTTAAAGAACAGACACCAGGAGATAAAATAAACCTCAAACAAAGACCAACTGGTGGGACAGGGAAAAGCAGGCATGAATGGGGCTCTCCGGGCAGTGAGTTCATTCGTGTTAGATCATTAGAAAGAGCATGGAAATACACTTAACCAAAACAACAGTCAACACTGTTGAGCAGACAAGCGAGTCCCGGTCTTTGACCTCGTGAAATAAACCAGTGTAACTGGGGCTATGTGCAAATCTGTTTCCCAATGACTTCATGAATTCAAGTTCTTCAGATCCACACATTGTATGCTTATTAGGTAAATATTGTGGCTAATTTGATCATCCTTTCAACCATGAATGGTTGTTCCTCACTCGAAGCTATCGCATGGCTTAAGAAAACTCGGAGTATAGTCTATGAATAAAAATTGACGACTATGATCGACTTTCAGCGTATTAAAAAACTTCTTCTATGGAAGAAAGAAAGTCGTACAGGTTTGGATGGAAATTTTCAGAATTATGGTTAAACTACTCTTTAAAATCTTGCATAATGTCTCTCACATTTCATGGAGAAAATGTGAAAAACATGCAGATTACCATTGCAGACCATTTCAGAGCAAGTACATGCATATCAAGAATGTTTTGAGATATATCGCCCACCATCCCTATCAGAAGAAACATTCAAACGTATCACAGCCCGTCTTTTAGCTCCCTATTTGCCGACGAGGGGCTGCGAAAGCAAAGTCCCTCGTGGATGCACATCAAAAGCTGTGTTAGAATAGCAATGAACTGTTACTCACTGCTTTTGCTGGCTTTGACCTTGGCCAGCAGTTTCTGTGTAGTAGCTAGATCTCCATTCTTCACCGCTTGCAGAAGATCCTGCTCTTTTCCCATGATCCCCACCAGCCTGAACTCCCCCAGCGTCCCACAAGAGTCCCGCTCCTCCCTCACACCTCCATACAGCGGCGCAACCGCGGCATGAACCTATCCCAGAATCCTCTCTTACGGTAGTGCTTACTTCACTCTGTTGACAGCCGGATGTCTGAGAGAACCACAAGCAACCAGATATCCGTATTTCTCCAACAATCGCGTCATCAAAATCAACAGACCGTCTAACTTCAGCTCTCCGTCTGGTTATGGATGCGGAAGGCTGGAGGAATGGAAAATCTATTTTGCCTTATGAATTGCCTTCCGGTTTCTCGTTCTCAAGTTTCCAGAGCCTTTTCAGAGTAACCGAGTCGGTTTGGGTCCTCAGATTCTGGGAACGCAGGGGCCTTGTTGATCCTGTGGTTTCCAAGGTTGAGAACTAACATTGGAGATTTGGATAGTTTGGATCAGCAGACCAAGACCTGAAAAAGGAGTCGGCAAGAAAAATAGCAATGTTAATACACCAGCCAAGTACAGGGCATGAGCAAAGCAGTAAAACGCTGAAAACAGCAAGCCTTAGAGACTCTTTTCACCTCTCACAGACTCACACTCGATTGATTCCTTCTCAAGGCAAGATTGCAAGTTCACCCAAACATGCAAATTCTGTCATCACTCATCGTCAAGTCAGTTCAAACCTGTATGACTTTCTATTGTTGAACCCAAAAGACAATACACCACTGTTCAAAAATGTTGCTGATAAAGTTCAAAAATGACTTGCACGTCGTTTCCACTAAACTATTAAGCAGCACAACTATTTTCAACATTGATAACGATCAGAGATGCGTCTTGAGTGTCAAATCGGCCTATTAGAATAATTCTGAAGGATCATGTGACACTGAAGACTGGAGTTGATCACAGGCATAACTTACAGAGTATACTAAATAGTAATAACATTTCACAATATTACTGTTTTACTGTATTTTTTGATCAAATAAATACAGCCTTGGTGAGCAGAAGACTTCTTTTAGAAACGTGTAAAACATGTTACCGACCACAAACTGTACCCCATTGACAATTATTGCATTGACAAAAACCTTTTTTACTGTAGGTTCACTTCTTGAGCGTCAAAGAAGCTCTGGCCGCCCTATCAAGGACGCTTGTCAAAAAGTACGGGGAAGCTTGTTGGCGCTTTGGATGCTTTGAACGCACTGATATTGCAGGGAGCAACATGACATCATGACTTTTGCGTAAACATACACGCCACTTTCGAGTCAAGTGGCGTGTTATCTCTACGCATTTTGAGCTATCCGCGTGTTTCCGCGTGTATGCGTGTATGTCTACGCGATTAACGTCCGAGTGATTCCGCGTGTCTGTACACACGCCGTCAAATGTCCGTGCGAAATGAAGCAAAATGTAGATCTACATCTGGGGAGCGATCTTTTTTTTTTCCTAGGATGGTAAGGGAAGACTCATAAATGCCATTAACCCCAGTGACGGTTAGATTTAGGGACGGGGTTGAGGTAAGTCATATATTTATATATACAGTAATGTAACGTTAAGTCAACGGCATTCATAAACACGCTGAAAAGCGATTATGCGTGTTGATAGTACGCCAAAAATGGAAATACGAATTGCCGTGTCATACACACGCTACTTCATGAGATCAGTCTGCAGTGAGTATAGAAGTGTCACAACATGAAATGTAATAAACAGAAAAAAACAAGCAATACATTGAAGAAACCTTTTATAATGACAGCATTTTTATAACCGTTTTGGTCACATTTGGTCGGGGAAAAAATAGTTCTAGCTATTATTATTATTATTGCGGTCAAATCGGTGTCACCGTGAGCAAATTACTTGCGTTCCCGCTTTAAAACGAGCGTTCGTAAATATTTCAAATAAAAGTTGCGCTCATGCGGTCCCTATAGACTTTATTCAGAGCAGCGCCATGACAGGTATGAAAGTGAGGCGGTGAGGGATAGACTTGCCGTGTTTACAATGGCATCCGCTGTAAAAAGGGGAATAAAGCGGCTAGATTACTTACAATTTTCCACAGCTTACAGATCGGAGTTTTTTGTCAACTGAAATTTCTTGGAAAGATATTTTTTCCAGTGTTTCATGAGCAGAACAATCCAAAAACACATTAAATAACAGTACAGCCCATTGAAGAGATGCAAGTCTATCCCTCACAGCCTCGCTTTCATTCTCATTAAAAATCAAAGATGGCGCTGCCGTGAATAAGGCGTATAAGCAAACAACGTCATGTCATAAATGATACGAAACCAGTGGGAATCACAGCAATGGCGATGATTAGCTTCTCTACCATTTTCTCGGAACTAATGTTTTGGTAGGAACGAAAGTTTACATTCATGTTTCTCCGGAATCATCCGGCACGAAGGACGTCTATATTCCGATTGGTTGCTGGCGTTTTGCCGCTGAACCGCGTCACGCCTCATTACCATAAAGTTGAGCTTTTCAACTTCCTGATTGACGCTCAAAACGCTCAAAACGTGACGCCGATGGATTTGACGCTCCTTGCAGCTGAGAAAAGCCAGCGGAAACTCAACTTCCGGCCGCTTTGGAAGCTCAAGTCGGCGGTGGTGTGAACGTACAGTTATTATTACATAATGATTGTATTTTCATTTTTGGGTGAACTAAACCTTTAAGCTAACTTTACCTACCAATATATCCGTCTGGTCTGTGTCAATGACATGATACTCATGCAATTTGTTTAGATGTTTTTTGAAAAAACAAACGTCATGGTGGATAATGAAGGGGAAAAAATTATAAACATTGAAGTCTTTAAAAGTTCAAAAGTTAACCATCAAAAGTTTCATAGTATCACAGAAAATGCGTGGCAAGATCAATAAGCCTCTTAAAATATAACATTACTTGACCTTTTTATCCACGAAGCAAAGTAAGTTCAGGTTGTAAATGTGGTGCAGCCAAAACTTACTTTCAGTTTTAATCGTTGTGTGTCGCAGACACCCTACAGAAGAAGATGGGATTTAAACCATCGCCAGTGAGACTTTGGATTTGCACATGCGCCTGCACATTTAAAATGTGTTGGCCAAGCATTTGTATCTTCATTTGCATGCCTAACCCTAAGTATGAGGAGCAGTAGTAGTAGTAATTCCCTTAACACCACTATTTAAAAAACGCTGAGACTCGTAGTACTAAAAAACTCTTGATAGCATATCATCTCAAACATGCTGACAAAGCAAAAAAAAAAGTATAAAAGCACAAGCTTAATGGTAAGTGTGGTCAGTAAATCTGAAAACAATGATAACCATATGCAGCGCAGCTTCACACTCAGTGGTCAGGCCGCCCGGTGTCTGGGTCACAGCGTGAGCAGTAAATGAGCACCACACGGCCGTCTCATAATCACTCCTCCATTGCATAACCCTGAACGATCTCTACACACCCAGAGCTCTCGGAGGAAGCAAGTAAAGCTGCCACTCTCCATAGCTGTAATCACGTCCTCTTTCGTTCCCCTCAGGGCCAGTACTCTTCACACGCCGCTGCCAAACCGCTGATAATGTGAGTTTTTGAGTGCTGTTATGATGGGTTTACGACGTTTTGATTGAAATTTCGAACATTTTCCACTTTTCGAAAAAAGAAAGAGGAGGAACGGGACAGGTGAACGTGAAGGTAGATTGAAAATCTTTGACTAATGAAAATGACTAACAGAGTAATAATGATTGGACAAGCCCACTAACTGGCCCTCGTTTATGAACCATCGTATTAATTTTAGAGATGCAAAGAAATAAGTGATGGGTTGCCTGAACAGGGGCTCAGTATTTATGGTCCTGGGAAGCCGTAAGTATGACGTCGGGTGCGTTCAGATCACTTTTCACTTTACCCTTTCTAGAAAAATACAGCAAGAACATGTAATCTACAAAATTATGATTGAAGAATGCACATCAGGTGTGTTTTTGCAGTTTCTGAAGGTGTTGTGAACTGAATCGCAACTGTACAATACTAGCGCTTTTTAGATTAAAAGATCTAATCGTATGTGCATTACAAATAATGTTTAGTGAAGTTTTGTCCATGCCCCAACTGAAAACAAGCATTGAATAAGGCCCTGTTTACACGAGAACGCTCGCGGGTTAAAACGTAAAAATATTTTATCGGATGTGCCTTTCGTTTACACGGCGACGGCGTTTTTGTGGCTTAAAAACGCAAAAAAGTGAAACCACTCTCCAGAGTGGAAATCTTAAAAACGCTCCACCGCCGTGTTCCCGTGTAAAGGGTAAAAACGCAAAAGTCTGCTAGACAGTGAAGGTTGTACGCAGGCACGCGGAGTTGGTGTTGTTGTGTGGCAGTGCTTCACATCGCCACCTAGTTGCCTGGAGTGCACACTACGTCGAATTTCACACACTTTTGCGTCACCATATGCGCGCGGATTTCCCACCCAAAATGCTCATCTAAACGCAGAATGAAAAGTGATAACACAACGCCACTTTTGCGTTTTCTCTTCAGAATCGTTTCCGTGTAAACATAGCCGAAAAGAACAATCATTCATTGGAATTTAAAAATCAATATCGGTTCTTAAAAACGATAATCAATAGTCCTGTTAAAATCCTTTTTGACCACTGCCGAGCACCATACGTACGTACCATTAATTTAAACTTCTATAGAGTGCCTAAGTGATGACGTCACTTTGTAGGACAACTCGGAAGTTAGCGGCGCATGGGTTCCCTTGATTGAAAAGCTATGCATTTTCCCCATAGACTTTTGGAAAATCGCAAAAAAATAAGATCTGTGTTCAACAAAGATTTGTGACCCTTACACATTTTGTCTTTCAAGATAATCTTTATAAGTCCAAAATTTATACATTTTGAAGCCTATATAAAGTTTTTTTTTAACAATAACGTAAAAAAAAAAAACACAAGCAGGTTATAACTGTGTGTTCTGTGTCATAGATCAAGACGTGAAAATATTTAGAGGCTTTGTTCACCACAGACCTTATTTCAGGCGATTTAGCAAAAACCCGTTAAAAAAACCCAGACTTTAGAGCGAGGGAACCGTAGTGCTAAAATGCTAACTCACTTCCGCGTTTTGGCCTACAAAGTGACATCAAAATTTCAGGCACTCTATACTGAAATGTTGGTAATAACAGTGGATTGTCATGTAAAATGTGCAAATTGAAAGTATAGCTGCAAAATAAATCAAATCGCGACATAGTTTGTCAATATTAAAACACAAAAATAAACATATAATCTGCTTGTTCTGTGTGAATGAGCTGGGCTTGAGGAGCATCTCAGCATTTTATTTGAAGAAAAAACATTGTCAAACACACCCCGAAACTCGAAGGTCTTCACTACAACCCGTAAAAGAAAAGTTTGGTTAAACTTGAAGAAATTATGACAGAAATATTAGCCTCCTATTGTACAATAGAATGTAGCCAACTTCTCAAAATGATAATAATAATACAATACATAATAATACAAATTATTGTTTTAATAAAAAATTTTGTCTATAATTGTGCAGCACTTAAAAGTTGTTTAATTTTAATTTGATTACATTTTAAAATTAAATTAAATTATTAGTTATGCATTAATGATCTGATTTTAACCGTTATTTATAATATGTTTGTATTAAATCATAACAAAAAAATATTTTTTGATTTCATAGGACTCTTATAACTATTAAAAAAGTGAATACATGATTAATTAAAACAAGTTGTTAATCAAATCCATATTCAACTGATTAGGCATGTTTTTGATTATAGAAATGTGAATAAACAAAACAAAGTAGATGGTTTCAAGTCTGCTATTGATAGTAAAGCTGCAGCTGATTGATATACTAACTATTATCATAACGTGAAAATGTCATACTGTTATTTTAACACAGCCCAATTGTGAACAGATATCTCTGAATGGTTGATGAAGGATTGAGGGGTTATGCTTTTGGTTACCAGCCTAGATGTTCACTACACAATCCATAAGTCTCTGAGGAGGACAGATATCACATGAGTGCCAAAATAAACAAACAATGACATAACACTTTTCTTCATAACACCACCATACAACCATAAAACATGCAATAGCAGGCGCTAGTTAAAGTTAAGGTAGGAATAAAATACATCTAATAGCACACTTTAACATTAGTGTCCGCCAAAATAACACAGCTGAACTGAAAGGTGATTGGTATTAGCTGCCGCTGTAATGAAAGAAATACATAACCATAAAGCTTCATAAATTTCACTACTTTACAATAACAACAAAAAAACACACAATTCTCGCGGGAACTAGTTAGTACGGTGGTTTAGTTCGAGAAAACACAAAAGTGAAACGATATTCGGTGAAATCACATCAGGTAGCGCGACAACTATCGATTTAAAAACAAACTAACAAAAATAGCTACTGCTTTAAACCTCATTGTAAGACTTCACCCCAATATTCAGCACAAACAAAACTTCCCCGTCAATTCTGATAAACACACTTACCTTTACATTAGTGTAAAGAGTTCATAACAGCGGGTTCTCGTTCACTCGCTCCAGTCCAGACACTTCTTCAGCAACAACAACTAACTCAAAGTCACCTAGTCAACTCTAAACACGCTAGAAGTGTGAACGACCTCGACTACTGCTAATCGCGCTCTCGGGATATTTTCTCTCCAGTTTTTTTCTCCCAAACTGAACGCCTGCATGGATTTGCATGTGCGTGTTTGGAGACCTCCAGCACTGTGAGTGTGAGAGAGGCAGTCAGAGCAGCTCGAGTGCGGGGGATCGGCCCTCCTCCAGGGGGAGGGAGCAGCGCTGCCCTGCCGCCCGACACGACGCGCTCCGGGGCATCAGCTGTGCCGCTCTGCCGCCCTCTGGGACCCATCCGCCGACACTCACCGGAGCTTCGATCTTCTCCCTCTTCATTATTTAGATATAACTCAGTAACACTTACAATCCTAACATTAGTTAACTACCTTTGCTAACATAAACTAATAACTCCAATATGATTTATTACTCTTAGTTAATATTAATTTAAACATTATTAAAATCAAATTTGTTAACATGCAATGTAAGCTAACATGAACAAAATGAACAGCTGTAGTTTTACTATCATTAACAAAGATTAATAATTACAAATGAAGCCTATTGCTCATTGTTAGCTCATGTTAGTTAGTTAATACATTAACCAGTCCAGTGTTTAACTAAAAACCTTATTGTAAAGTGTTACCTATAACTCAATATAGCTATTTGTTCATTGTACAGAACTATAAAGCTATGAAATTAGTGTGGAGAGAATCAGCTCATCATCAGATTCATTTGGTTTTGGGGAAATTTGATGCAAAATATAGTGGGGAAAGTGGGGCATCAGTTTGTGTAAATCCCCTTGGGGTTCAGAGTATTTATTTTTTTTCCCACATTAATTTCACACATGTCTAGTATGATTATGTGGCGTTGTTTCATTAATACAGTGTATAGGCTATAATCTTGATTTACCTTGAAAGAATGAAAGTGAAATGTGACAATGTGTCCCATTGTAACATGACCATATCTGATCTAATAATAAAAAATAAAAAAATTAGAGACAAACTAAAATATTTTGCCAATAAAATACAATTATTAACTTTTTCATTGCATTTTTAATAAATAAAAATAAACTACTTTTTGAGTTTGACAACAAACACACCTCAAAACACAGCTATACAGCATTTCAAAACATAATAATCATATCTGAACATTGACTCACCCTTCTTCTCATGATTTCTCAATTCAATAGAATTCATAAAAGTATAGAATAGAATAGTTCTCAACAGTTAAATAACAGATATACGATTAAAACAATATCAGATTTGTCTAATTTTAAATATACACAAAAAACAGAGATGAAAAATTAACTTACAAGTAAGAAATGTACTTATGCTAAATAAATATTGAGTGATATTTTCCAAAAGATTTCTTAATTTTGCCACATTTTTTCTCTATATTAATATGGCAACTAGTAAATACACTAAGTTTCAGCAAGCTAGCATGTGTGGAAAGTTAGCCCCTCGTTAGCTTGTGTTGGTGTTGGGGTTAACGCATTAGTAACCTGTGTTATGTAATCAGATTACTTTTTCAAGTAACTAGCAAAGAAAGTAACACATTACTTTTAAATTTACAGCAAAATATCTGAGATAGTTTGTTTCCCCAAGTTTTGATCATAAACATGACAATATTGTTGCTCTAGACTAAATATGAGGAGGCATTTATTCATCTCACTTGGACAAAAACATTTCTTATTTTTTAAAATTAATAAAAACAATAAAATGCAAACTCAGAATATTATGCAACATGCTAAATTACACATGCTTTTTGTATTTAATCTCACTATATACAATGTATTTGCTGCTGACCTTCGATGATCCAATTCAACTATACTAATAAGCAAAAATGACTTTAGATGAACATCACATGGTTCTTTTCTTTTTTTGTTTTACTGTGTTGAACTTTTTTCAGCAGAACAGTTGAAAGGTTTGTTTGAGCGGCGCCCTCTATTGTACAAGTGTGAATTTGCATTTTCAGCCTGAGGCTTATTCATTTCACTTTTGGTGTGAAAAGGCCTTTACATTTGCGGGAAAAATGACTTTTGTTGTTTTTGTTATTAAAAATATAAGCTAGCCAGCACCTTCGATGAGGAAAAGTAATGTAAAGAAAAAAATGTAGCCTAACGTAACGCATTAATTTCCATAAAAAGTAATGCAGTTAGTTACTTTTTTTAACACAATATTGTAATGCGTTACTGGGCTGGTTGATTATGATTTTAGTTAGAACTTTAGTTAGTGTGTAATGTTGCTGTTTGAGCATAAATAACATCTGCAAAGTTACAACGCTTAAAGATCAAAGCAAAGGAAGATATTTGCTTTTAAAGAAATAGTTTAAGGACTTTAACAAACAGCTGGTAGGGACTACAGGACATTCCTCCCGGGTTAGTGACATCACCAACTCTAAAATTTACATAAACCCCGCCCCAGAGAATAAGATTTATAGATTATCATGACAGAATTCTAATCTAGAAGATAACTACACATAAGTCACATAAATGAATCGACTAACCATTCAGAAATTTCCTGTTGCTTCTACATGTTGTCACTTCTTGAGCCTTTCCATCTTTGTCTGACTCCGGTTTGAAAATAAAAGGCTAATTTTTTAAAAAATGTCAGTGTGAGTCTGTGTGAGGTAATCGAAGCTATGGAAGCTTGTTTCCGCCACTGAATAAAAAATAAATAAATAAATAATTGCGACTTTTTATCTCACAATTGCGAGATATGAAGTCAGAATTTTGAGAAATAAAATCGCAATTCAGAGAAATGAAGTTGCAATTGTGAGAAAAAAAGTCAGAATTGTAAGATAAAAAGTCGCAATTAACTTTTTTATTTTTCATTCTGTGGCGAAAACAAGCTTCCATATGAAGCTGCTCACACACACACACACACACACACAGTTATTGAAGCACCGCCCTCAGTGTCGGGAGCAGCAGCTCATTTCATTTAAAGGGACAGACACAAAAAAAGTGCGTTTTTGCTCACCCACAAAAACAATTTTAACATGCTTTACAAAATTATCTGTGGGGTATTTTGAGCTGAAAATTCACATACACCTTCTGGGGACATCAAAACATCAAAGACTTATTTTACATCTTGTGAAAGGGCCTTTTACTAGCCCTTTAAACGTAACTTTCCACAACACTACATATTGAGATCTTGAAGTTGAAGTTCAGACTTTGATATCCTGGTAAATGTGAGTAAGGTTAGAGGCAAGTCAATGGCGATCTGAGCCATGTTCCGCTCTTCTCCATTTCCACAAGGGTGTTGCACAAGGGATTTGATGCATGAATCCATAACAAGCTTTACTTTTTCTTTGTCCCGTTACATTTTAAGAGAAATCAAACTCAAAACTTTCTTTATAAGAAGCAAGACCTAATCAAAAGTCTCCATGCGCTCCTCTTCAAAGGGATAGTTCACCCTAAAATGTTAATTCTGTTAAGCTATATCATTAAGTTGTTTGTTTCTTCTGCTGAACAGAAATAAAGATATTTTGGGGAATACGGGGAACAAAATGATGGACCCCACTATAGCTTCCAAGAAAAAAAATACTAAGGAAGTCAAGATTTAAAATTTGTGTGTGAAAAATATCCGTCTCTACGAGAAAGACGTGAGATAATATTCACCCCCCAAATCTGCATTCATTTGTCGCATGTTGTTGTGCAGCAACTTAAAATGAATAGAACTCAAAGTATATGAAGACACACAATCATGAAAGTGTCTGAAAAATGTAACCCTCTTTGGACTCGTTTATATGCTTAAACTTGATGGTGCATGCATTGAGATCTAGAAGTCTCGTTTTTCAGTCACAGATCAAAGTGCTTCCTGTCCCCTCCTAAATGAAGTCATCTGGAACAGGACAGTGAATTTGGCTCTGACAAGTGTCTGAATGAGACCGTGTGCTGTGGAGAGCAGGTGAAAACTGAAGAGCAAGGCTTGTGGTTCTGCGTCGCTTCACCTGCTCCCACAGAGATAAGGGCGAGCGGTGATCAAAGGATCAGGGGTTGCTATCACCTTCCGGGTATCCCACAAACAGATGTTGCACACCTGGGGCATGTTTAAATAAAGCAGTTAATGTCACTATCACAGTGATCACAAGCTAGAAACCAGCACCCTTTTTTTTTTATAGAGTAAGATAAATGAACAGATTCACTTTACAAAGCAAAGTATATTTTTGGAAACAATAATGTGCCGAGATTTGAGTGAGAGAACAAGGATTTGAGAGCCCTTTGTTGTGAAGTTTGGAATTGTTTTATTGTCTTTGAAAGAAATCTGCAAAATATCTGCATTTATTTGATTAAAAACAAGAGTAATAATATTGCGAAATGTGTAGAATTTATTTTATTTGAATATATTTTAAAATGTAATTTATTCAGCAACCTTACTTCAATCTTGGGTGTCACATGACCCTTCAGAAATCAGTATCCACCTTTTTCTGACTGGACGGTTTTCTACTTTCTGCTGTCCTATTTTCACTATTTGTATCTTAATTTCAATCAATGTTTCATCAACCAATTGCCTGGTTTTAATAAATAAGAAGTATATAGTAAACAGATGATCATGACGGAGGCGACAGCGCGCAAACTGACTTTGGTCTCACGAATGAAACGTAACGTTATTATGCCTAAACTCACAGGCCTGAGTGAGAAATATAGACTATGTATCTTTGAAAGCAGAGGTAGCAGGAGTCAAAGGGCTAAACAGCCTAACCTTATAGAACTGTTATTCTGCAGCAGTCGGGGTGAGAGACTGTCGGATGTTTGCTGGAGATCGTGCATCAGCTGTCCTTTCCCAGACAGCAAACTGACATTGAATCAACGTGGAAACGACGTCTCTCATGACATCGAAACAACGTTGATTTTGCTCATCGAATTAACGTTGAACCAACGTCAGACGCGGCATTCTTCAAAGCTAAATGAAAATGAAAATCGAGAATTGGTTTGCTTTCATAACGTTGAAACAACGCGTTGATTTCAAGTTGATTTTCCGTTAGTTTTGAAAGAATGACGCGTCTGACGTTGGTTCAACGTTAATTCGATGAGCAAAACAATGTCAGATCAATGTTTCCACGTTGATTCAATGTCAGTTTGCTATCTGGGTTGGAAGTTATGAAGCAAAGAAAAACGTTCATTTTGTTTTTATCTGTGATTTAATAAAAAATAACGTGATCAGATCACATTTGATGAATGTTTTTTTCGATTTAGTTTAGCGATGTGGGGATGACACAATCTAAAACACATGGCAAAAAAATAGACCAGACTCGAACCGGAAGTTGACTACCGGCATCGTCGTCATGGCAGCGCGCATTGTTTAGAGCAGAAAAAGGTGGATATTGACAAGCTTCAGTCATTTG